AGGCGTGAATTCAGCCATGAACCCATTTATTTATGCTCTGCACAGTACCAAGTTTCGCCAGCACATAAGGCGAGCCCTCTGTTGCAGGACATTCCATTCAGCGGACTTCCTCGAAGGTCATATTAGTAATTCTTTGCAATGTGAATATACATTAAAGAAATATCGCGGTGCCTTAGACTTTGGAACTTATTGTTAATCTTTGTTCAGACTGTGACCGAGCACCTTTCCCGCTACCTCATAGTTAAGTGACAGCCCTGGTGAAGCAATGATGTTTTCCAACAAATCAAAACTTTACTAGAACAGAGAAAAATCTACCATAATGTTGCTCGACCCGAAGTTTTGTTCTTTAGCGACATGGATCCTACTTTATGTCAATCAACTGCTGCTTTTATTTCCGAGCAATGTCCCTTACACATGACATTTTCCATTGCAAACTGAATAACATTTGTTTGAATTCTATTTTGGATGTTATTATATTTTCTTTAGTTTAAATAGATAATTTCATGTATTGTTATGGAAATTCCTTAATAAATTGTTGTTGTTTTGGTTTTCTAAGATTATGTTAACAAAATCACACGACATGAACTATTCTTCTTGCTGAAAAATGCCATATCACAATTTGGCTCTAGCTAATGCGAATGCTTGGCCCGAGGTTGCACATACGTTTGGAATTTACTAGTTCCCTCCTTAACTATGGACATGTTCGTTCAAGAATAACAGAGTTCTGACGTCATCTAGCATGTTATTTATGATTACAGGACATTTCTCTCGTATTTCTATTAATAAGTAAAAAATGGAACGTTTAATATTGATTTTCGCTGTCTAAATCAAAGAATGATTTATGAGCTTAGTGATGTAAAAATAGTTTTTTTGTCCTTGCGGTTACATATTGTCTTTTTCGTTTAACTTCGGGTTTAAAATCTTACCTTACAGAAATCATTAAATCGACAAAAGATCGATTTTGGTAGCAAATAGAGTTACCCAGTGACGTTAACCTTTAAACAACACGTTCCGTGCAGAAGATTTCGGAGTCAATAACTTTCGTAATATATTGAGTTACTCTGCTCCACTGGCGAAGAAGGACAAATTATTAAATAAGAAATCTGAGTGCTTGGTCACAGGTCTATGCAGACCCTTTTCATATAAAATGGCTTTCAATTTAAAATTCTTTTGCCGTGTGCATTTAAATTAGCCTCACTAACTTCGTTTGAGTGTTAAAATTATTTTGAATTATAATTTTTTTTTTTTTATGACGGGCTCATGATAAGGCTAATTTTAATATTTACAAAACATTTTGTAATTGGCAGCTATTTATGAAGAGCCTTTGACTTTCCTTTTATTGCCATAGGATATACGGTCTTCCTGGGCTTAATATGTTAATCCAAATATCCAAATCGAGTCCGCTAATTGGTTATAATCACATAGGGTTTGTCTGTGCAGATAAGCGCCCACAAGTACGCAGTAACGTTTCAGCTTTATAAGAGCTCAGTGAAAGGTTCGCAGTATTCGGCGGTTTTGGCTAAAGCTTTTATGTAGCCTGCGAGCAGGCTCTCACCGTTGGTGTCGGCGAACGAAGCGAGAGGCTCTACACCAGCTGCTCGCTTTGCTCGCTGACTCAAGTTCGCGACTTTGCTCATCGACTTTGCTCCTGCCCTGACGCATGAACGCCTGCTCGCAGGCTAGCTTTTATGAGGTCAGTGCTTGATGTAGCTCAGTTTGAGGAAGTATTTGTTTTGTGTTATTCAAGCTTGCTGTATATGAATTGTTTTTAGTTTGGAGGTCTATAATATTCGCTTTGGTTTTAAAAATATTTCTATTTTCAAGGCTATTAAAGTTAAAAAGTAGAAAACACCGAGCGTTTTCGACACTAGGTCATCTTCAAGGTAAGTAAAGACCGTCAGCTAAAATCAGTTACGTAATTCCCGATGGGAACAGTTTCGCGATGTAGCAATGAACCTGTCTGTTTAAAGATGGTTTCCACTGTTGGATCATTAGGCCTTCGAGGATTCTACGCGGCTTTGTAGTGGATTGAGCCTTGCAAAGTATGCGCCAGCTAAAGGAATGCGAAGGATTCACACGTAGATGGCGGCCTGGCTCAGAGTCGCTACAACTGTTAGTGTGTTCATCAAATCGCACCTGCACATTTCTCATGGTCTCACCTATGTAGCTGTCACCGCAAGAAAAGATAAGCCCGATGATCTGCTTGAACGACTTAACAATTACCATCCTAACATTGTTTTCATTGACAAAGAAAATCCCGACCATTTCCTTGACACTGCTTTCACTTATGACAACGACTGATTCGACTGCAAAGTCCACAAGAAACCGGGAAAGCTACCTACACATTGGAAGTCGGAAATTCCCACAAAACGGAAAAGAAAGTAAGATACCAAAAGTAAGGGACCCTTCGGATAGCCTTAATACCAAATGGGTGTTCCGATAAACCTGAACAACATTCTGGTTGGCCTCAATGGCATTTCGCTCGTTCGAAATTATCTCTGACTCGAGAGAGGTTAGTTTTTGGTAAGGTGAAATTTCTGTATGCCGCTGCCTTCAGTAGATGCAAACCGTCCATAGTTATAGTGAGCCATCTGACTTGACTATTTATACATCCGCTCTCTATCTCAGGCTATAAACCCACTTGGTTTGTTGTTTTTCGCTTGTTTTGTTTCCTTTGTTTGTTTGTTTTTCCTGTTATGACTGTTTTTGTTTGGTGGTCTGCTTGTACAAGATTTAAATTTATCTGATGCCTTTGGTATCTTTTTTTTCTTCGCCAGGAGACAAGTAACCTGTATGACACTAATCATTAGCATGATCTGCATCATAACATGCATTCCAATCACCGTCATATTTCTTCTGATTTGATTCAGTTCACAAGTGACCCCAGATTCTCCAGCGGATCAACTGGAAATTCTGCTTATCACTTTTAACTCGTGCATCAATCCTATGGCGTACAGCTTACACAGCAGTCAATTTAGTAAGAGCTTAAAGAACATAATTTGGTCCTGTAAACCACGGTGTAAAATATGAGTATTTTTGCACCAAGTGCGCCCGATACACAGAAGAAGATGATGTAGACACCACATCATATAGAAATGAAGACTTTTTAGAAAACAGAATTGAAAGTATACTGTCAGAAAGGAGTCAACAAAACCACCAGAGTTAAATAAATAGCCATTGAAATTTGTTTCCGTCAAAATAGCGTTGAAGATGTCCATTACGTCCATGGAAACTTTATCTGGGTGTTGGCGCTGTTTCAACGTTATTCATTGGTAGTTGTAGCTGTTCAACGTTACTTTGAAGTCGTTCATCCGCTCTGCGATGGCTGGAAGCTCACCAACGATGACTCTATTAACTACTGTTCTAATTACAAGCTGCGAGCTGTCTTTACGGCGTCATTTTCATTTTGCCGCTCATCTTTGTGGCTCAATATCATGGAGACGGCAATTTAACTGCCCGGAGCACTGGCCAGATGGGATATTTTGGGTATTATCAGTAATAGAACGTTTCTTTATGTTTTTGTTTTTGAACTATTTTGGCCGTATATAATTCATGGTACGACACATATAGCTTGCTTTTATTTACTGCTGTTTGCTTGCGGTTAGCATTTATTTACTGATGTTTGCTTGCGGTTAGCATTTAAGGGGTGAAGGGGAAGGCGACTAAATGTGTCCTAACATGAATTATATGCACGATTTTGCCTTGCTCTTTTCTCAGATAGCAAAAATTAAATCTGAATGAGAAATAACGACTTTATACTTTGCACGGTAATACGAAATAAATGGAACCATGATTGGTTGGTTATTCGTTTGGATTTTAAGGAATAGAAAAGCGTTTTCACCATCACTACGGCTCTTCACCTTACTTCAAGTCCCACTTAGAATGCAAATCACATCCCATGCCCTCTTTGAAAAAATCAAAGTGTGAATATCGATAATGGCTGTATTCTAAGTTCCCGGTGGCCTTTTATTTTCAGACAAGAGGCCCAAGTGTACTTGAAAACACATTAATCCGTATACAATACAATATGTTCAGAGACTACTCAGATCTTGAGTACGTATGGAATTTAAAACAGCTCTGTTTCGCAGGCCAACACAAAGTTAGCCCATTCATCAGTTATTCCATCCTGACACTGAAGCCTACTAAAATACAAAAATACACATAAACAATATGATTGGGCAATACGCAATAAACCGTCACAACAGACCGTTACAAAACATCGCAAAAAACCGTTATAATGTTGGAATGAATCTATAAAAATTTAAAACTTATGCGCGTGCTACATTGTACATGATAACATTTTAATCTCTAGACATGTTTGTTACTCTTAACTGATGGCAAGTTTGGTCAGAAAATAGACATATAACATATAAAATTGCGTCTCATTACACATTTGATATGGTTTGCCGTTAATATTGATTTTGTCTCTGTATACCTGTCAAAGAATAATTTATAAAAAATAGTTTTTTGTCGTTTGCAATTACCTGTTGTCTAGTTCGTTTAATTAGTTTCGTTAAGTTCAGTTTAGTCTAAAAATCCTGTTGTGAAGCAATCATAAAATCAAAAAGAGATTTTGGTAGCAAATAGGCTTGCAGAGTGACTTCAAACTTTAAGCGATATATGTTGCGTGCAAAAGATTTCAAAGTCAATTAGTTTCATGTCCCTTAGTCAAATTTGTATATTGAATTACTCTGCACTACTGATGAAGCTAGACAAATTATGACAGAAATTGAGTCCTTGATCACAGGTCGAAATGACGTTGCTTTTAAGAGCATGTGATATATGGTCTTTCGGAGCCGAATACCTTCATCCAAATATCCAAATGGACTCCGCTAATTGGTTTTTAAAAATAACCTGGATTTAGTACATAGGGTTTGCGTGTGCCGACAAGGCCCACAAGTTCAGAATGTAAGCACATTAACGAAACCGTTTCAGATTGGTGGGATTGCGGCTTTCGCTTAACGCGAGCTGAGAAACTTCGCAGTAATCGGCGGTTTTGGCTAAATGTCATTACGGTCAGTGCAATTGATGTAGCTTTGAGGGAAGTATTTGTTTTGTGTAATTTGCACCGAGTGTGCATGTAGTGTTTTTAGTGTAGAGCAGCTGTAATATTGAAAGTATCTCGATTTTATACCCCACATCACAAAAAGAAAAGAGAGCTCTGGACGATGAAAACTCCTACACTAGGTCATAACGGCAATGGGATTTCACGTTTTATCAAACGGCTGTCGAATAGATTTTATTTTTTAGTCGTAGGAATCGAAAACTGGCTTACCTTTGTCTCATCATTGCCTCAGTTCCATGCTTGTAATCACGGTACAATACTGAAAAGTGAGTAAATTACAGAAGTGTGTAATATTGTCTACAGCAACAATTCAAGCAAACTGCAAACTAATACCGTGTTCACACCGGGTCAAAAGTGTCTAGCCGTCCATTACGATTATGCGACTGAGTATAATTAAAACTTACGTTTCTGACCAATGTTTAATTCCAAACTATTTTCTCCAATAGGACAGCGTAACACTGACTATGCAACTGTGAATCAACATGGTGTCTAATGTTATTATCTCCCTGTGTTCGGTCATGGTTGCTATTAATTTGATTGGTAACTCGCTCGTCTGTCTTGTGGTACTGAAAGATAAAGCTATGAGAACTTCCATGAATTTCTTACTGGTAAATTTGGCAGTATCCGACATGATTGTCGGTATCTTCTCCACATTCAGGTTAGTGAGCTCAGATGAGCCAGCTTAGCGCACGACCGACACGAACACCTAAGACATCGTCCAGACTAGGCCGGGGGAATTTAAAAACGCAACAATCACCGGTCATTTTGGATTTGTGTTTGAGGAAAACTCGGTCAGGGAATCACATGATTTTCGTGACGTCATCGTTTTCAAAAAGCTCCTTTTTCAAAATGTTCTCCGTCCACACGAAAACGAAAATCCGACGTTTTCAAATTCCTCCGGTTTGAAGAGCGTTTTCGAAACTCTGTTTTGGTGACGGATTAGTGTGGACGGTAGGCCTAACCGTAGAAATTAAGTTGCGTTTTCAAATTCCTCCGGTTTGAAGAGCGTTTTCGAAACTCTGTTTTGGTGACGGATTAGTGTGGACTGTAGGCCTAACCGTAGAAATAAAGCTGCGTTTTCAAATTCCTCCGGCGTAGTTTGGACGCTACCTACGTTGTTGAAACATCAAAACACCTTATCGGGCATCTGGTGATTACCGATACAATAGAGCAATTCTATTGACCCATCAGCGAGGGCATTGTATCTTATTTACTTTATAAAAAGTCGAACAAAATCCTATATCATAATCATTTCTGCAAAGATCAAACCTATTTTTCAAGAATAAACTTCAAACAATGTGACGCGTCAAAACTGCATCATCATCATCATCTTCAGTCATTTACTGTCGGCTATTTCGAACTCACGCGCGCTATTTCGAACTAATTTTTCGTTTTCCCAGAGAGTTCGAAATAGCGGGCTTTAACTGTAACTTAGACTGTTACAGCACTCAATTTCTTGAGTCAAAAAGATTTTTCCATTATCTTGTTTTCATTTTTGTGCCATTCTTCGTCTCCCTCAAATGCCGTCTACTTATTTGATTATGACACTGCATTTTCATTGTTCGAGATTAAGTGCTTTATTAAAACTCCTTCAGTGTGTTTCCTGTATGATGTGATTGTTCAATGTGACACGTATGTGATTAATATCTTTCCTTTTTTTTTCACTTCAAGTAGACGTCAAAAGAACACAACCAGTCCTAATCACGTTCGATTTCATTTTCAATCTTACTCAGGCTCTAACAGTTAGTTAACATAGAGTTGAGATTGCTTCCAGTTAGGTTTACTTCAGCCAGTGTTATGTTTAGGTAAGAATTACGGAAAGATTATCGGGAAATCTCTTCCTTTTTATGTCTTTGTAAATGCATTCTGTCTGCAGGCTCCTTAAAGATTTTAAGTTTAACACTTTTGCAAAATGTGTCTTATTGAGAAAACAGCTCATCACTTACTTTGTCTCTCTCAGACAGGAAAGCTCTTTTTTAGCGCCAGTCATTGTTCATCTATTGTAGTCAGCATGGTTAGCAGAGCAGTTATTTCCCTGTGTTCCGTCATGGTGGTGGTAAATTTGCTGGGGAACTCGCTCGTCTGTCTTGTTGTTCTAAGAGATAAAAACATGAGAACAACTATGAACTTCCTGCTCGTAAATCTGGCAATATCTGATATGATTGTTGGTGTCTTCTCCACATTCAGGTTAGTGATTCTTGTCTCCATGTACTTCCTCTGTATCTCCTTCAATGTTGCACTTATGTCTCCGTGAGCATCGTTACTATGCATGGTGTGCTATGACGAGCAAGTGCCCTCTTAGGCAAACATAACTTGTACACGGAACGGGAAAACTTCGAAACATTTATTTTGTTCGTTCATACGAAAGGTATCAAATTTCAACATGCGTGTTGTTCAGTTTGTGCTGCCCCGAAGACATCCACTCACTGCATAAAAAGCGTCAATGTGTTTGTCGTCCACTGCGCTGCTGGAAGGAGCAGCAGCAGTTTTATTAGTTTCTTGTAAACTCGAGAACTCTTCCTTCTCTTAAGATTTTTTACTGCTTCGACGGGCCATTAACAAATGAAAATTTATCCTTTTTCGAAAGGAAGAGTTAGGCTTATCATGTAGATCTCTTTGACAAATTTGACTGGCAACTCTACAGGTTACTTTGTGCAAAAGGATGCTCCTGTTAATATAATTAAAATCCCGTAGACATTTTTGTTTTTATCTTTGTTTATTAGAAAAACATCTTTTCGAAATGCCTTCTCATCTCAAACAATATTCGTATAAACAGTTTTGTACCGATAACATTAGTCTTGGATTAATCTAATCCTGATTTCGAGTTAAGTTCTAATGCATGCCGTTGAAACTGTGGTTGTGCGATTTTGTTTAGTACTCACTTGATTACACACTGAATAGCACTCCACTCAGACATGTTACATATATCACATATAAAATAAAAAATAAATCCAACAGCTTTCTATATAGGAACTGGCTAAGTGTAGCAGCTTTTTTATAAGAATTTTCATAAAACACTATTTAACGAATTTATTGGTGTCTTGCCCCAGTCATGACAAAGGGGGACTCTCTCCCCATCTGCAAATCGTTTCCATCCGCTAACGTCTTAGTCTGTGAAAGAAATTCTATGTTGTGACCATCAAATGGAAGCTATTTACCATTTAAATAATTTTTTTTCGTGCATGGAGAGCCTGTGGGCTGATGGATGCCCCGGGAGATTTTATGTTGTAAAATACAAATATTAGCCCCCTCAAGAACGAAGTTCGAGGGCTTATATGTAGCTATGTAGAATATAAAATTTCTCGATGCAACAATACGCACATATAGGCCCTCGACATAAACACTCTATAATAATATATCTCTATGGTCTTTTCGTTCATTACTGCATTTTCCTGTAGCCGCGGCATACCTAAAAACCGAAAACGATATGATTTCATTCATTGAAATTTGCAACTTCCATGAGCACTTGTGGCTTCCGCCATCAAAGAATCCTCTTAGGTTAAAATAAAAAAAATAATAATAATAAGCCTTCAAAAGCATTTTCTATTCCAATATTGGCCATTTTGCTGAGCAGGCAACATCGTCTGATTGTCAACCGTGGGAATCTATCGCCTCATAGTGTCAGGGTAAGATTTTACCGTGTGATAAGTTTTGGCCAATGTCAACAAAGTAAAATTGAGTGATTAATTATAATTAACAATGATATTTATTATAAGTTCGAGATAGAAGACAATTCCAACTAAAAACTATTTTAGTCTCCTCAGGAATTTGATTGTCCAAACGTTTCTACACGTTCCTTCAAAACTTTGGAGAAACGAGAAACGTTGTCATTTTGCTGATCACATCAAACCACTGCGCGCTAATGGCCGATAGTTTGCGATGGCTCAGCCAATCAGGTTTTAGTATCTGCATAAGTAAACTAGTAGATTCTACTAATTTCCTATAGAGCTGTTTACAATTCTTTTCAAAAATATGCTTCATGACGTATCATTATAAGTATTTCGTATGAATTTATTTATTACCTTTCTCTAGGTTTTTCATAATTAACCCTTTTGAGAAACTACGCGGTACGTCTGCCCATGCGGTTTGCAGTTTACTGACGAGTGGGTCATTCATGTGGACAGGGATTTTAGCTTCTGTGCTGTTCCTCGTTTTGATTGCTGTGGAGCGTTATCATGCCGTACTATATCCTTTACATCATCAGACTGGAATGGTAGTTACAAAACTGAAAACTATTGTTACCTCCTTATGGGTTTACGCACTCGCCTGGAACATTCCAACGTTTGTGCTGTTTCGTTACAGCAATCAAAGTGGACGCTGTTACCAAAATTGGCCTAATCCCTACTTGGGTCGAGCCAGAGCTATTTGGTGGGTCCTCAACACGGCTGTGGTTCCTGTGATTATTATGGGCTATCTGTATATTCAGATTGTCCGCAAGCTATGGAAGAATATACCAACGGGCAGAATTCAATCCCAGAAAGCAAGGTAAGCTAGCTGAATATCGAATTGCATTTTTCTTGTGCAGTGTCTTTGCATGAAAACCAGTTAGGCCTACCTGTTATGAGAAACATCAGTACTCTAGTAATGTTGACTGAAACCGCAGCTAGGATTTCACGAACAAAATCACGATAGTGTGAAATTAAATTTCAAAATTCTGGACACTACGTTGATTATGACAGAATCAGTAAGGTAAATACTCAGTTTTTTACTGTTGTTTTTCTGCTACCAATTTTCTCTGTTCCCCTCTTGCTAGGAGAAAAGTAACCCGGATGACACTAATCATTAGCATGATCTACATTTTGACATGGATTCCAAACAGCGTCATATTTCTTCTGCTCCAATTCAGCTCTTACGTGACCCCGGATTCTCCAGCGGATCAACTGGGAATTCTGCTTATCACTTTTAACTCGTGCATCAACCCTATAGTGTACAGCTTACACAGTACCCCATTTAGTAACAGCTTGAAGAACATGTTGCAGTGTTGCAAGCCGCGGTGTGCAAGAAATACTGTTGTACCAACCACGCTTGTTACTATTCAAAGAGACATAGACGTCACATCATATAGAAACGAAGACTTTGTAGAAAACAGGATCGAAAGTAGACTGTCAGAAAGGAGTCATCAAACCACTCAGAGTGAATAAACATAAAAATTGCAAAAGTTAAGGTCTTTATTGAAAAGCTGATCCCAACGGATGACATTTCATGCCATGTCTAGTAGCTCATACCGGATCTAACGAAGGGATGCTAACACCCACTGCTATATAAACAATAGCTTCTATTTGGCGCGAAAATATGCTCGGATATTTGTCCGCGGACACTATCATTTTCGGAAGCGAACAGTTTTCCGAGACGTAGCTGAAGGAAAACTGTGAGATTTGAGGAACAGATTATTTCTCAGGACAAATATCTCTGCATATTTCTGTGTTTATTTCCTTCAAATATTTTCCACAACAGGCGCAATTTTGAAAATTGGAGAATATCACTGGGATATTCTTTCGTTTTGGCTGGACCATATTCAGTCACTTGACGCGTTTAGACAAATCTCGCGCAAGTGAAAATAATTGATGGACTATGATAGCGGATATTCATATCTCTCTTGCGGAAGGCGTAGGAAATTCTGGAAATTTTGTATTTTGAAACCCTTTCGTCTGCAGTCACACAGGTACAAAGATGACAACAAGAGAAGATCAAGGAGAGAGAGTTAATCCCAATATAGGCTTTATACCTAAGGTAATCCCTCTTAAGTTATTTTTAGACATGGTATTACTCGCGCGATGCGTGAATAGCCCGAGCAAAGACAAAATGGCGGAAAATATGGTGAAAAGTCGGGTAAAAGCGATTAAAGAGGGATTACCTTGAGTACCTATATGGGGAATTCACTCTCTTACCTTGATATTCTTTTGATGACACCTACTACGCAGTACAGGAGCGTGTTTATAAAGAATGACCTAAAACCGACTTTGCGTATATAAATAATCCAAAGTAAATTCCTAAGATACTACTAAAAAATCCCTTTGGGAACACAAAGTTTCTCCGGCGCACAATTTGAAGGGACATCCGGAGCACAAAAATGAGTGAAAGTAGTATGTTGCACTTTCTCAGGCCAGGGCTTGTGAAACTGGAAGAAGCGCAAGCTCAGAACACCACCATTTCTCTTTTATATTTCTTGACTAAAGGCGACACTTTGGCCACTTTCATACCAGAGACGGACAAGTCTTCTTGGTGTTAAAACAGGACGAACAAAATTCTGGGGGCTGAGTCGTTCTAACTTTTTGAGGTCTATTGTTCGTCTAGATGGACAAGTCGTAAAACGTCCGACTTCAATTCACACCAGACGAAGAGATCACAAATAGTTGCATCTCGGTGGCTGTCTCTTTAAGGGAAATGGAACTAGCAAATAGAGTGATGGCTCGTGCATTGCAAAATCGAAATGAAGGATGAAAAGCAAGGTATCCAAGCCTGTTAGTGCCAGGCTCTTGCCTTCAAATTCGCTGTCTTTCCAGATCTAAATTTACCACGACCAATACAAGGTGAGTTGTCCTTCTAAAATTCTCTGCGGATATGACTTGTCTGTTCAGACGATTCGTCCGTCTTCTATTGTGAAAATGGCCAATAAGATAATTTCAAGATTTTCTTATTTGTGCGATACGTCAGCGCAAGGTTGATAAACAATTTATCACAAATCCTGTCAAATAAGACTAACCTTCCCCAATTAAAGGGCTTTTGTTTAATTACGAGTGCTTATTAGAAGTGAAATATTTATCGAACTGTATTGAATGCTTTAATTAAAAACAAAGACGGTTAAATGAAAACACATCCCGGCTTCACAGTTAATTTCAAAGCTTGTTTAGTTCTAGCTTGTTAATTCCTTTTCGTGCCTCAGTCTCCGTTCGATATAATTAACACTATCTCAAAATGGCACCGATTTGAATTCGTTTAGTTCATTGTAGGTAGTAATTAAACGATTCAAGGCTGCAATTTACCACTATTTAGCAATACTAATAAGAGAGTTACATCAGTAGAAAACGAGATTAGTTTCCATCGAAAAGGTAAACAAATATTTCGTATTGGCTTTGCATGTTTTGAAACACAAAAATTTACATTTGCCAGAGCTACTTACTGTGCAGGCAACTGTCAGACAATGATAAAAGATACTGTGGAAGAAATAAATTTGAATTCTTTACAGTACCTGACTACCAAGAGTCAAATCAGAGAAATCGACAACCCGTGCTTGCGAAATTCTCGTATATTCTCTTAACACTGGTGTCGGCGGATTAAAACTTAGTTCCGAAACATATCGGTTTTTAAGTTTCCAACTTGAACCAAGTACTGGAGGAAGGCTTAATGCTTCAACTGTGTTGGCTGAGTTCTCCTTTGCTACTGCATCAATAACAGAATTATCACAAATACGAGAAAGGCGAGGAAGTGCCTTGAATCTGAATATGTATTCATAATCTACAGTCTGGTAGTCCAGGTCTTCGATTGCTTGGTCTACAGAATGGCTTCTACGACTTAAAGCACAGTTTAAAGCTTTGAGCTTCCCTGTACTTCCCATGCTGTAGCTTTTACCGTTTATTTTGATTGCATTCTTTTCACTTTCTGTTGCACTACAAGCCCGCGCTAATCTTCTGTTTTCCTGACAAGCCCCGTCGCTTCCTGAATGGCTGTCCTCGATTCGTTTATCTTTTCCCGTCTCTACCATCTCTTGGGTTTCTGATGAACTTGATATATCTGATGAAGTTTGACGGTTCGGTGTTGCAGCATGCTTTCTCTGTACTGGAAATTCAATCTGTTTTCTACATAAGTCGGTGGATTCTTTTCGGCTTTGGGCTTTGTTTTCATATTCCATACTCGCACACAAATCATACAGCGCTACTTCTGCTGGATTCCTCAACAATTTAGCGCGAGACCGTGGTCTTTGCAATTCCCTTGTGTACTTTTTAAATTGCGAAAAAGATATGTCTGTAGTCATATTTACTTGCGCATTTTTGCCTTCCCTTTGGCTTTGTCTTTTGTTGACAATTTCCACCTTAAAACCAGAAGAAACCGGCCTGGATATAGCCATGTCTTTCAACGTTTCCCTTGCAGTAATTCCTTTTTCTTTAGCAGCTGTTTTCTTTAAACTGTGGTTCTCGATTGCAGTTCCCTTCACCAAGAAGTCATTTGACGTCGCCAGACCAAAACGTCTGCGCGAATTAGAAAGGTCATTAGCAAGTTCGCTTTTTCTAAAATACATTCTTCTGCCAATATACATGTAAACCGTTGGATCTGTGTACAACAATGACTCGAAGCCGAAGACAGAGCTTGAGAGTTCTCGTTTGCTCTACGCTGGCGAAATGAAAACCTTGAGCAAGCGTTTGAACAAGACATTCAATTTTACGGCGTTGAAGTCTCGCTGATCTTGAGGAGACAAAACAAAAAGGTTAAATTAAGAATCCTGCCAACGCTAATTGCTGAGAGAGCGTTTGAAAAGTTAATTGCCCCTCATCTCTTTCAACTCCTTAAGAGCAAGGAAATCTCCATTTTGTCAAGTTTCAATTACAATGAGCCTTAACGATTCATGAACGAAATACTGATTTTAGCATTGTAGGCGACGAGAATCGTTTCCGAAACGTTTGTCTTCTCAATGTCTTGAAAATTTTTATTACGTGCAATGTCAAATAATATTTTCTTCTCACTTTCTAAGTTGCTATGGCAATTAAGGATTTCAGCAGGTGTTTGTCACTAGACGAGACAAATTACTGAAATAGAATTTTATAAACAAAAATTATTCAAATTCATGATGCGACGTAACTTATGCGTCATGGCTTTTTTCTGCTTTCCAAATAACTGAGGTATATTGTGAAAAGCAGTTCCAGTTCTTCAGTCAAGGAACTTTTAGATCAAATGAAAGCGACATCAACTCGCTTTACTGGATCTGGTTAGAAGCACTTGCATTTATGTCTTTAATGACAGTGTTTAATATTTGTCGTTTTAGCGGTTCATGTAAGGCGAGTTGTAGTCGGACGCTTTTAAAAGAAATAACGAAATAAGCTGTTTTGTACTAGAAACAACGAAGCAATTAAAGCGAGACAAGGTCATTTTTAGTGCTTACAACGACCACCCAAGCCCTCGATCCTTAAAAAAATATAGCTTCCAGTCTCATCAAAACAAAATTACAAACGTTACCTTATCTGAAATATACTACATATATTATATAAACTAAAAATGTAATAATATTTGTATATGTATTGTAAAAGATCGCAATGCAGATAGCAAGAAAATAATAGAATACGTCGATTTTGTATACAGCATAGTCCCTAGGCCTTCTTTTGGCCTCGCAGGGCGAACGTACTGAATGTTAATTAAGGGCCTAAGAATGACTTTGTCAATCGGAGAAGTTATGAAATTTCGTGAGAAGTTAAACGTGAACAGTAAGAGAACGACTGGGTCCTAGACTGCTCTTAAAGGCCGTTTCGTGGATACAATATTCATGGTGAGCCTTCGCATTTAATGGTCAGTGATTCATCGCATTCTGAAGACTAGATACAACGATTGTCGTGGCCTTTTGAATAGGGGAAATCCAAGAGCATCGAGCTCTCTGGCTCACTTTTTCTCTTTCTTCTGAGAATACACAAGCCATTATATTGTTAATCTCAGCAANTATTCGTTTAGGAGCAGGAGGACCTTCAACAAACCCCATAACTCCTGAAATTATCTGATTTCAGTAACCGTTATATTTGAACCATTCACCTTACGCTTTAGGAGGGCAGAAAAATAGGGAGAAAGTTAAGCGAGAAATACAACAATGGATGTATTGCATAAATGTTAAGGAGCAATTTGATATACGTTTCATGATAAGGACACTCATAGTTAGTTCACAGGGATGCTATACGTTCCAAGCACGCAGTGTTCTAGGGCCACATTTATCTTTTACGAGTGCTAGCTATGCTCTCATTTTGCGTGATAATTTTTTACTCTGCAATAGAAATTGGTCCACATTCACTGTATAGAAAGAAGGTGATCTCTGCATTCAAACTATATAAAAAATCGTTCGGTCCCGGTACTCGTTTCCGAGAAAAAAACAATGATTTGTCTCTCGCAAGCCAAGAGCCACCATTCTGTATATGTTGTGTATGATTACACGAACACGAGTTTGACTACGAATAAAATGACAACCAAATAGAAAATTAATGAGAACAACAGTCAGTAAAAAAGGAAGCTAGGCTAATAAGGAAAACCAACAGAAACGCGACTTACAGAAATTCCACCAGAATGATAAAGTTGAAATAGAACAGATCCTGAATACGCGATGCACGGCTATTTGCTTGATGGAATTTACAAGCTATTATTTTAACGAAGAAATTGTTGATACAAAATTTATAATTATAAGCGGGCGGGGTGCAAATGATTTGTCCCAGTGGGCCGCGAGAAACTTAACGTACGAATGTTACAGCAACAAAGCTAGTAAAGCTTTGTTATACGTGACTAATTCCTCTGCACTAACCAACAAATTTTGTACTTTTTCATAGGTTTCTTGATGACCCTTTCAAAAATTACCAAGGCACAACAGGCGCTGACGTTATCTGTAGTATGTTAACTGGAGGAAGTTTTATATGGACGGGGATATTGGCCTCTATGTTATTCCTCGTGCTGATTGCTGTAGAGAGACACTGCGCTGTATTGCACCCGTTGCAACACAAGACTGGACTAGTAACTAAAAAACTGAATGTTATAATTGCAGTTTGTTGGACTTACGCCATTTTATGGAATATTCCCTCGTTTTCCTTTCGGCGCTATAATGAGGAAACTGGGGGCTGCTTTCTACCCTGGCCCATTCCCTACCTCGGTCAGGCTAGAGCTGTTTACTGGGTCTTCACCACCGCTGTAGTTCCTGTGATTATTATGGGCTATCTCTACACTCAGATCATCCGTAAACTATGGAGTACAGAGCAACCGGCATCTGTTTCGTATGGAAAAGCAAGGTAAAGAGGGCGGAGTGGGGGGTGGAAAGCGTTGGATCAAATAAAGTACGAGGATCAATGAGCTTTGAAAGAAGATTTAATAGAGAGTTTCTTACTAGTCTTTTCAAACGAGGTGGGCGTGCACTTGAGGTAACTAGGAATCACCTCTCAAACAAGGTCCAAACTGAAACTTAGTGAAATTTATTCTGAACAGAATTTCACGTTAAAAGTCTAGGGTTAAATTTACGTGTAACACATACGCGGAGCTTTGCCGGTATAAGTACACTTTAGAAAATGGCTTAATGTCTGAATAGCTCTTCTGGGAGTCTAAATTATATCTGACTCGAGAAAGGTTAGCTTTTTATCAAGGTGTAATTTCTATGTTTAGCTGCATACATGTGTACTACTGAGTTCTGACTATTTTTGTTTGCTTCGTTGCTCGTACATAATTGGAATTTATCTGATATCCTTGGTATAACAAGTTTCTTTTTTCCTTCAACAGAAGAAAAGTAACCCGGATGACACTAATCATTAGCATGATCTACATCTTAACATGGATTCCAAACAGCGTCATATTTCTTCTGCTCCAATTCAGCTCTTACGTGACCCCGGATTCTACAGCGGATCAGCTGGGAATTCTGCTTGTGACTTTTAACTCGTGCATCAATCCTATAGTATACAGCTTACACAGCACTCCATTTAGTAAGAGCTTAAAGAACATAATCTGGTCCTGTAAACCACGGTGTAAAATGAACATTATTAGGCCAACACCGCCCGATACACAACCACGTGTAGAAGATGATGTAGACGTCACATCATATAGGAATGAAGCCTTTGTAGAAAACAGAATTGAAAGCAGACTGTCAGAAAGGAGTCAACAAAGCATTCGGACAGAATAACCATTGAAATTTATTTCCATAGATATAGTGGTGAGGGAAATGTCCATCATGCTAATGCGAAGTGACAACCAAGTCAAAGTTCGGTCATTTTCTACCAGTTAACCACCGATTAGCGCAATACCGTTTTTAAACATTCTCTCTCAGCTAGAGATTGCAGATTTGACATGCTATGTTTGATTCCTTGGGTTGATTCCTACATACTTACTTACTTACTTTTGAAGCCTCTACGAGTCTGTGTGCTTGCTGAGAGCAAAAAAATTCTATGTCATTACAACGCTCAACAATTCTTGGTATTTTCAGTACTTCTTATAAATTATTTAAAAATTTGGACTCAGTTAGTTCGGCACTATGAACCTTTACTAGTGTATTATTATCCACGTCCAGCCAGTTTGTTGCTAAAAGAGTTCAAGTATTGCACGATTAGACCATGCTTGTACGATAACTGAAAACCCACTGCCATTTTTTTTTCTATTGTTAGAGGATTTGTTTTTGCAGTGGGTGTTTTCAAAAGTTGTGGAATAAATTTATTTATGACGTAGGTATATCGGAGCGGTTTTCAATTGAGTGTCGTAAAACCAAAGCCAAACCAGTTACTTACCAATTAGACTACTCAGCCAATCTTGAACCGTAGTAAAACCAAAACCAAAGCCAAAGTAATTGCTAGATTACTTTCAACACGTAACTGAACACCGCTCTACTAGTAACAGGTTGATTTAACTCATAAAAGGGACAGACAAGTCCTAATCAGGAAATCTCAGTACTGAATTGTTTTATGATGAAAATGTGGTTTGCCCGCAGAACGAATTTAAGATCGATGATATATACTCGTCAAACATAAAACATGTTCACCTCCAGTCCGGACTACAGTGTAATACAAGAAGCAAATTACGAGCGTAGGGATCTTTTGAATCATGCCAGTTTTGAATGTAAGAACCGGTTGCTATCAAATTCCATTGCTTTATAATACTAATCTTTTAACTTACCACTGTGCGGTGTAATTGGGTGCCTTTCCTAAGAATCATTTCAAAGCGATAGGAAGGTAGAGGCCTAGTGGCTTTGAACACTTGTCATGTGGTAGTTCTGATCCCAAGCTTGGCCATTTTCTCTGTGTTTCCTTTTTAGGCAAAACTCTTTAAACTCACAGCGTTTTCCCTCCGATCAAGTGTATGTATTGACGTGGGATTCAACGTGGAATGGATTGGTATTACATCTAGGGGGAGTATCAATATAATACACTACACCACCACACGGAGAAGTACTTGTTAAAGAGTGTAATATTACTGAGTCAAATTCGACAAAGAACTTATACTATTCCCTCTCACTGGCAGCATGCTCCCAGTCCTCATTCATACGTCGTGTTTCCGGGAAAGACTTTTTAAAAGCAAGTAATGTGGCTGCTTAAAGGCCAAAATGAAATCTATGGTAGTGCTGGAATGACTTTTAAGGATTTCTGGTTTCCAGTATTGTGGTTTGTTCACAGGAAAGACGTAGAGATCGGGGAATCCAGATAAATAATCGATATGACAGAATTTTGTAGCACGAAGCAACGACTGAATAACTACACGAGGAGAAGTCCTCCTCGAGTAGCCCATTCCAGGCTCCTAACCAGTTATCCCTGAAGAGCGACACTGTTGCATGTAATGCCTCATCTTGCTGTTTACAGAAAAACCAGAATTAAACATTTTATTGAAACAGGGCCGTTTTAGACAATACGGATCTTTAATCGACCACATTTTGCGGTCTCAACACATGTATGTGTTTCCATGGTCATCGCTTGTAAATATGATAAATAATTACAAATTACCTCTCCTGATTGGCCAAGAATATTACTAGGCTTGAGTTCATTGTGTTTATGTGCGTCGACTCTGACCCATTACTTTGCAATGATTGACAAAGATGACTTAACCTTAGAATTTATAATGGCGGCTTTATTATGACTGTTCTCTTACTAAACCCTGAAAGACTGGTCCACATCAGTAACTTGGCACCTATTTAGGTTATAAAATTGATCGAGGTATGTATAATCTTCTTTTTCCTTGATTTTAACTGTAACATGGGTTAATCGAAAATTTCAGCGCAAAAAAAATAATTTTATGTCTTTGGCGAATAGCAAGGTCAGAGTATTAAGTGAATAACATTAACGGCTCGATATTTACTGTTCAAACTTTAATTTATCACGGATCAAACACAATTACATTTTTATTTATCCAAACGAGGGTTTGAAACATTTTCAGTGTCAACCATTTTGAATTTCACAAACCTATCTTAATACAAGCACAATTTTGAATATGCTGCAAAGTTACCGACGAAGAAAAAATGACACTTAAGAAATGGTCAAAAGGAACAATTGAAGGGTCGATACTTGTGTAACGTGGTCATTGAATCAACATCATTCTATAACAATACGAAAAATCGCTTCACGGCTCGCTCTATTTCTTTTTAAACAAAATATAAGTACATTAAAAAAAATGAATATTTCTCATACACTGTTTTGGATTCAGTTTAAAATGGTACATTTTCTAGTTTCACAACATTTCTTCAAACCATTGTTCCGGTGACAGCTTCACCAGGCTTGGCACGGCTAGTGAACAATTGAGCAGTACTTCAACTTCATCCTAAATCTTGAATGAATATCGTAATTACGTACAACCTGAGGTTTCATTCAAAACAATCGTTGACACTGAATTTATTTCCAATAACCAATTTCGTTATTTCATGTTCGTTTGTAGTGTGTTGTGTTAGCTAGAAATAATTTTACCTGGTATTTCTATAATTATTTCTGTACTCACCAAATAACGTATGCAGGAAAAACGATGCTTTATTAACTGGCTGTAAATCTATTTTATCAGATGAAATTGTGATCGATCAAGCTTCGGGCAGTTGAAGGAAATTAAAGCAACGTACAATACCTTGGAACTTGCTCAAACGCGCCAGCTGCCCTCCCAAGGAAACCTCTAGCTTTTATCCTCGGTACAAAATCTAAATTCGTTTCAGTTTAATGCATTCTATTAAAATGAGAAAAATTTCATTTCATTTCATTTCGCCCTGGGATATTTTAAAATTCATTATTTTTCCACAATAACGTCTTAGGATCAATGGGGACGAGTGAGTGAGAGAGTAATTTGGAGAAAAAAAACACGAATTAATTAAACCTTTGCTACAATTGGACCCCTTTCATTTGAACCCAGTTATTCAAGTCGACTCCACGGTTATTTCGACCTCAATACGATTCCCTTGGATTTGCCCTTCAGTCATTTACTGTCGGCTATTTCGAACTCACGCGCGCTATTTCGAACTAATTTTTCGTTTTCCCAGAGAGTTCGAAATAGCGGGCTTTAACTGTAACTTAGACTGTTACAGCACTCAATTTCTTGAGTCAAAAAGATTTTTCCATTATCTTGTTTTCATTTTTGTGCCATTCTTCGTCTCCCTCAAATGCCGTCTACTTATTTGATTATGACACTGCATTTTCATTGTTCGAGATTAAGTGCTTTATTAAAACTCCTTCAGTGTGTTTCCTGTATGATGTGATTGTTCAATGTGACACGTATGTGATTAATATCTTTCCTTTTTTTTTCACTTCAAGTAGACGTCAAAAGAACACAACCAGTCCTAATCACGTTCGATTTCATTTTCAATCTTACTCAGGCTCTAACAGTTAGTTAACATAGAGTTGAGATTGCTTCCAGTTAGGTTTACTTCAGCCAGTGTTATGTTTAGGTAAGAATTACGGAAAGATTATCGGGAAATCTCTTCCTTTTTATGTCTTTGTAAATGCATTCTGTCTGCAGGCTCCTTAAAGATTTTAAGTTTAACACTTTTGCAAAATGTGTCTTATTGAGAAAACAGCTCATCACTTACTTTGTCTCTCTCAGACAGGAAAGCTCTTTTTTAGCGCCAGTCATTGTTCATCTATTGTAGTCAGCATGGTTAGCAGAGCAGTTATTTCCCTGTGTTCCGTCATGGTGGTGGTAAATTTGCTGGGGAACTCGCTCGTCTGTCTTGTTGTTCTAAGAGATAAAAACATGAGAACAACTATGAACTTCCTGCTCGTAAATCTGGCAATATCTGATATGATTGTTGGTGTCTTCTCCACATTCAGGTTAGTGATTCTTGTCTCCATGTACTTCCTCTGTATCTCCTTCAATGTTGCACTTATGTCTCCGTGAGCATCGTTACTATGCATGGTGTGCTATGACGAGCAAGTGCCCTCTTAGGCAAACATAACTTGTACACGGAACGGGAAAACTTCGAAACATTTATTTTGTTCGTTCATACGAAAGGTATCAAATTTCAACATGCGTGTTGTTCAGTTTGTGCTGCCCCGAAGACATCCACTCACTGCATAAAAAGCGTCAATGTGTTTGTCGTCCACTGCGCTGCTGGAAGGAGCAGCAGCAGTTTTATTAGTTTCTTGTAAACTCGAGAACTCTTCCTTCTCTTAAGATTTTTTACTGCTTCGACGGGCCATTAACAAATGAAAATTTATCCTTTTTCGAAAGGAAGAGTTAGGCTTATCATGTAGATCTCTTTGACAAATTTGACTGGCAACTCTACAGGTTACTTTGTGCAAAAGGATGCTCCTGTTAATATAATTAAAATCCCGTAGACATTTTTGTTTTTATCTTTGTTTATTAGAAAAACATCTTTTCGAAATGCCTTCTCATCTCAAACAATATTCGTATAAACAGTTTTGTACCGATAACATTAGTCTTGGATTAATCTAATCCTGATTTCGAGTTAAGTTCTAATGCATGCCGTTGAAACTGTGGTTGTGCGATTTTGTTTAGTACTCACTTGATTACACACTGAATAGCACTCCACTCAGACATGTTACATATATCACATATAAAATAAAAAATAAATCCAACAGCTTTCTATATAGGAACTGGCTAAGTGTAGCAGCTTTTTTATAAGAATTTTCATAAAACACTATTTAACGAATTTATTGGTGTCTTGCCCCAGTCATGACAAAGGGGGACTCTCTCCCCATCTGCAAATCGTTTCCATCCGCTAACGTCTTAGTCTGTGAAAGAAATTCTATGTTGTGACCATCAAATGGAAGCTATTTACCATTTAAATAATTTTTTTTCGTGCATGGAGAGCCTGTGGGCTGATGGATGCCCCGGGAGATTTTATGTTGTAAAATACAAATATTAGCCCCCTCAAGAACGAAGTTCGAGGGCTTATATGTAGCTATGTAGAATATAAAATTTCTCGATGCAACAATACGCACATATAGGCCCTCGACATAAACACTCTATAATAATATATCTCTATGGTCTTTTCGTTCATTACTGCATTTTCCTGTAGCCGCGGCATACCTAAAAACCGAAAACGATATGATTTCATTCATTGAAATTTGCAACTTCCATGA